GGAGTGTTGCTGAGGCCAATCAACCTCAAGCCCTCACCCTTGAAAAACCAGAGCAAGTGATGAGAATAACAGCACAGCTCAAACAATTTTTTTGTGAAATAGACCCATCGATGTTGAGGGCTTTTGAAGGTGATGAGCAACACTGATAGGAGCTAAATTCCATACAAAACTCTGTTTGTAGATATGAAGAGGAAACGGTCTCAGATGCCCATCACAATGTTCTTCACAAGGAAGCCTGCCATTATCCCTGCTGCTACCCCTTCCACCTCACCTGAACCTCAACTCCTGGCAGAATCTGATTCTGTTGCTAACTCTGACTCAAGCGATGTCAGCAGTGATGCTGGCAATGAAGAGTTAGAATCCACACACTAGACTCATCATGCCATGCAGTTACACTCCATATAATCACCTCTATTCAACTGTCATTAGTAACTGCATGGCTAACTATCATCACCATCATCATTGTCATTGTTATCATCGTCACAAGTCGTCAGAGTTCGTCTGCCTAACCTTACGAATGGTGAGTGTTTTGTTTGTTCATTATCTGTTATTAAACCATAACATGTATATACAATATTTTATGTTTTCATGTGTTTTATGATTGTTCAGGGTTCAAGTGGTTAAGGAAGCAGTAATGTTAGCCTAAGTAAATGCTATTATTATTATACAGCAGACCGTTGTTTAACACAGTAGTTACGTTCCTGAAAACGCCGTGTTAGACAAAACCATGTCAGACAAACTGAAGAACTTACAGGAAAAATAGGGTTATGTTCCCCCACACAGACTAACAACTTTTTTTTAGACCAACAGATCTTACAAAAATAAAAGGAATGTGTAATTGCAGTTCATTATCGTGATGTATTATGTTGTTTTTACTGCTTAACACTGCAAATGCAACAGAAATAATAGTATTTCTTACCTTAAATTGATGATTGTGAAAAAGTCTAACTTTAAGTCATTCAGTAAGTCAGTCAAGTCATTCAGTCAGTCAAGCCAGGAAGTCAGTCAAGTCAGTAAGTTATTCAGTCAAGTCAGTAAGTTATTCAGTCATGTCAGTAAGTCAGTCAGTCAAGTCAGTAAGTTATTCAGTCAAGTCAGTCAGTCAAGTCAGTATATTATTTAGTCAAGTCAGTAAGTCATTCAGTCAAGTCAGTAAGTCATTCAGTCAAGTCAGAAAGTCTGTCAAGCTATTCAGTAAGTCAGTCAAATCATTCAGTCAGTCATGTCATTCAGTCAGTCATGACATTCAGTCAGTCCAGTCAGTAAGTCAGTCAGTCATGTCATTCAGTCAGTCAAGTCAGTATGTTATTCAGTCAAGTCAGCAAGTCAGTCATGTCAGTAAGTCTGTCAAGTCAGTAAGTCTGTCAAGTCAGTAAGTCTGTCAAGTCATTCAGTCAGTCATGTCATGTCAATCAGTATGTTATTCAGTCAAGTCAGTCAGTCATGTCATTCAGTCAGTCAAGTCAGTAAGTCTGTAAAGTCATTCAGTCAGTCATGTCGTCCAGTCAATAAGTCAGTCAAGTCAGTAAGTCATTTCATTCAGTCAGTCATGTCATTCAGTCAGTCCAGTCAGTAAGTCAGTCAGTCATGTCATTCAGTCAGTCAAATCAGTATGTTATTCAGTCAAGTCAGTAAGTCATTCAGTTAGTCAAGTCATTCAATCAGCCAAGTCATTCAGTCAGTCAAGTCATTCAGTCAGTCAAGTCAGTAAGTCAGTCAAGTCATTCAGTCACAGGCAACCACGCGATCAAAATGTTTCTCCTCCCATAACTGTGTTAAATTAATTTTGTGTTAAACAAAAATATGCCGCAATTCTTCAATTGTCCTACAGTGGACCCTCCATTTTCGTCGATCTCTGTTATCGCCAATTTCGGTTTTGGCCGACTTTTTTCGTCAATTTTTTTGGTTCCGTTTTCGTCGATTACCTCCATTTTTGTTGATCGTACGGAAGCTGTCCAGTGCCTAGCACACAGACAAAGCCGCCTCCTACACGCATTCTCAGCCAGTGTAGAGCTGTTTCTCGATGAGTGAACAGATCCTGCCAGGTCATATGAAACATTTCGCAATAATCCATTGTCTTTGCCACTTGCTTATTGTGTGTGACTGATAAATAAGCCACCATGGGCCCAAAGAAAGCTTCTAGTGCCAGCCCTTTGGTAAAGAATGTGAGAAACACGATATAATTCAAGAAAAAGTTTGTAGAAAAATACAAAAGTGGTGGTGGTAGACAGTGGTAGTGATGGTGGTAGAGGGTGGTAGTGGTTGTGATGGATTAAGGAGTTCTGGGTAGCAGTAATCTGAAGCCAAGACAACAGTGCATAAGTGTTCACAATAAAGCTAACAGAATCCTTGGCTTCATATCAAGAAGTATAAATAATAGAAGTCCTCAGGTTGTTCTTCAACTCTATATATCCTTAGTTAGGCCTCATTTAGATTATGCTGCACAGTTCTAGTCACCATATTACAGAATGGATATAAATGCACTGGAAAACGTACAGAG